CAGAGCACAGATAGCCCATTGTGTAGCTTTGTGCTTAATTACAAAAAAACAAATCGGTTGGTATCTGTTTTCGAAATTGTTCTCTGCATAACATTTCCTGAACCTTAAAATAATAAACATCTAAAATGGGATAGAAAAACTAATTCATTTAAAAATAACATTTAGCCACTGTTAACATGGCGTCATCATGTGCTCAGCACAATTGTACAAGAATACACCTAATTGGTGACGTCACAAACATAATCTTAAGCTTAACATAAGTATAAGCCTACTCCTTGTGTATTATTTAACAAAGATTTGTATTCCTTTATTAAAGTGACTTATTACGAAAGCTGACAAAGGTAATGCTGTTGTGGTAATGAAATATTGTGATTGTTTAAGTAAAATGAGTGATTTATTGAGTGATCAAGAGCATTATAAACATTTTACTAACAACCAGACTTAAACAGAGAAAAGAAACTGAACCAGTTTTTATTAGATTTAAAAAATAGAAATTTCTTAAAATGATTCTCTTAATAATTTTTTGAGATCTAGTGATGCAAAAACACTTTATATTTATGGTTTACCCGAGATACATAAACAAGATATACCTCTCAAACCTATTGTATCCACTAGAGGAGCGTTTAATTATAACCAAGGTAAATTTTTAGCTTGTATATTGAAACCTTATTCATTACAGGGAGAATGTGTTATAAAAAGTACAGAACATTTTACTAAGTTATTGGATACATTCAATCCTTGTAGTTTTGTAGTTAGTTTTTGTTGCTTCATTATTTATGCAAGTACAAATCAACGAATCTTTTGATTATGCTTTTCTTGCTTTATACAATATGAAAATCCAAGAACACAACTTTCTTCAGAAGTTTTAAAACAAATGTTAATTTTTACAACACCACCAATTGTATTTCAATTTAATGAGTAATTTTATTATCAGATTGAGGGAATAAGTATGGGTAGTCCATTAGCACCTGTTTTAGTTAACATCCTTATGAACATGCTTGATTATAAAGTTAAAAGTACGGTTAATCTAGGATTATGCTTTTTTGTCAGATATGTTGATAATACATTTGCTGGCTTTGTTTCCGGGCAAATGGTTGAACAGTTTTTAGTATTTTTAAATTCATTACACCCTAATAGTAAATTTACACATGAGAATGAGAATGAAGGGGAGTTATTTTTTCTCAATGTCATGATTAGTAGGGTTAATAATGTTTTTAAAACGAAGGTATTTAGAAAAGAAACACATACTGATATGTACTTGAATTGGTCGTCAGCTCATCACATATCTAAAAAATAGGGATAACAAAAACGTTATTGGCTATAGATAAAACTAATTGCAGTCCAAAAGAAGAGCCGGATAAGGAAGTACATTATCTGAAAAATGTACCGGTGAAAAGAAATGATTATCCTATTAGTGTGGTTAGAAAATACTTAAGAACTGATGGGTTGATTGAAAAGAAAAGGAAATTCATTCAGATGATTTGATTTATTATGTATTTCTTTATGTACCTGGCTTATCAGATATGATAAAAACACTGTGGACAGAAATAGAAAGGATGTGTAAACTTCCAGTTATAAGCAAATTTATTTTTTACCAGGAAAGAAGTTGAATATAATATTTAAAAAATGAAATTAAACCAACTACTGTTGAGAAAGAACGTACGTACTGTAATGATCTCTATATAGAGGAGACTCGTGGGTACTAGAATAACAGAACATGGACATGCTCCGTCACATGTCTACCAACATTTTAAAGATACAAAATGAAAATAAAATTGTTAAAATTATTTGTCGAGAACCTAATATTAATAAATGTAAAATAGAAAAAGACATTTTAATAAAGGAATACAAACCTTTGATAAATAAACCACAAGGAGTAGGTTTATACTTATACTAAGCTCAAGATTATGTTTGTGACGTCACCAAAAATCTCAAAAGTCGTAAAATGTAATGGACAAAAATATATATGGTATATTTACAATTTTCGTAAATATTTCACTTTTTCTTCATGCCGTAATACTTCGCGTTAACTCACTATTATAAAGAATCCGCAGGAGGATTTAGGAAGAAATGCAAAGTGTTTTTTAACCTTATTGGTTTAAAACTGCATAAGTACGATTGTTGTATTTGTATTTATGGCAAAATTGTTAAGGTTATCTACCAGCGTCTCTAATTTGTACTATTAACCAGGGATGTAGTCAATCATCAGCACCCTAGCACCTACCATTCACGTTAAGGGATTGGCTATCACTCCTAATGCGCGAGGAATATTTTGTCGTGTCCAATGGATTCAAACCCGACAACTGCGAAATCTAGTTGTTCCACATGTCCGACCTGCGACTTAAGTGTTATTACTAAGATTTTATTTCAACACGCGTCGTATGAGCCGAAGGAGGGGTGGGGTTGGTCTTTTTACTATGAAATTGTTGGTTACAAAAAATTTTCAATGCGGAAACTGTTAAGTTCAAAACGCGTATTTAGACTTATTTTGAACCAAAAAACTCTCACAACTTTTTTACTTTGCAAAAATTGAATAAATATTTAAAAGTTATGGTGCTTCGTTTCCAAGTGGATGTGCACAGTAAAGTACATAGACATCGTAATACAATTACTATGTGATGGTAGCTATTGGATTCTTCTTCTTTTGCTGTGACCACATTTGAGAAACTTCAGTTTCTCTTGGGAAATCGTCATCGTGAACGTCGTCTTTATACTGCACCTTGAGCTTGCAGGCTGTAATTTTAGGTGTAATGGTGTAATTCGATTCAGACACAATAGACATCAATGTGTCTCTGTAAGGTTGCTATATTCCCCTGGAAGAAGTAATGTCAAAAGTGCCATGTTTTTTGTGCTTCGCTGTCAGGACTGTGATATATTTACGAACTTCCGTGTCAGATGGTATATCGAATCGATCAGGATATGTAGATCGCAGTAAAAGTGGTGACATACGGCCGCATTTCAGCCAATGAGAATTATCAACAACAACCCCAACCCTGTTGGCTCATATGACGTGTGTTAAGATTATAAAACCTATATTTTGGGAACTTTTAGAAATTTCGGATTTAGTTTAATTTGAGTTTTTAAGCGTTATTGCAAAGAAATGAAGGATATCTTACCTGTGCATATACCAATGGTAAAATACAAATACGTTATATTCGGGGAAAATATACTAATAAAGAGGCCAAAAGATGCTAAGATAGATCCAGCGATGGTCACAACTCGACAGCCATATTTCTTGGTGAGAGCACTTGCTATGGGGCCTAAAAATCACCAGAAGAAAAAAAAAATGTACCAAAGCAAAAATAAAATAAACACTTAGCAACTGTAACTCTCATAAAGATATAAACTTAAAAATGCCTCTTTTTACCAAATTGTGTTAGGATTCACTTAAAACGTTTAAATACCAGAAAACCAAAAACCAAGATAACGTGACTTCAAATAAATGTATAATTTTCTGTAATTTATATGTGTCAATATTCTGTTAGGATTTAGTACTGGCCTCGTTGACGAAAAGAAAGTAGTGTTACCCCCAACCGGTTTACTTTTATTGTATTTTGCTTTTGAGAAGGCACACGAGATCAGATCACTTTAAAATTATCGTGACTGGACCGTGTGTTATGCAAAAAAATCGCACAGTTTCAGAATAAACGAAAATTTTGTAAAATTTCTACATTAAAATAAGAAAGTAGAAATTCTATAGTATTTCTGCATACCACAATATTACCAGGTGTGAAAACACTATGTTACTGAATACTGTTAACTGGTTATTTTTGGTGCATTTTTAGTTCAACAGCACACATTTTTTGTCAGTACAACAACATTTAGCTACTCAGTGTATGTTGCACATTGAAGTATTCTATCTGAATTGTTGTATTCTGGATATAAAGTAAAAATTCCCCATAAAATAGCATATATATATATTATCCGATTTAGGGCTACACTTACATGATTACACCTTGCAGAATTCAAAACAACAATATTTTTATTTTCACTTTGTACATTTTGTAAGGGAATATTTATCAATTCTTTAATCCTTGATGCATGACTTAATATCTCATAATAATTAATAAATGAATAAATTACTTCCGTGTTTAAAAATCTAAAGTTTAAACGAAGATGATGTAAAATTAACCACATACCTACAGTAAAAGATACGCCGACCATTATTGAAGCAACCCATGCTGTCACTCCTTTGTTTTCATGAAAATATTTCAAAAATTCCACATAGAAGATTCCAAATGTGTATGTAACGCCATCGGCTAGAACATGGATCATGAATGATGAAAAAACCACTACCCATCCCCAGCCGCCATCTGGTGGTGAAAATGTAGTTTCTTCGGAATCAAGAGAGTCGTCTTCTGTATCTTCATTTGATAATGACAGCTCTTCCTTTTCGCTTTTTGCCATTTTGATACACTCTAAATTTAGTCCACACCATATAACACTCGCGATATATGCTTAAGCGATTAAATTTAGTTCAATAAAAGCTGACAGGTGAGGCTGAATTTAGATACAGATGTTCGGCATGTCCGTCATTTTCACTGTTTAGTCGTTCATCGTTGCCGTTGTATGAAAGAAAACTCGGTAAAATTACCTGAAATTAGAATATTATGTTTAAGGGATTAAATCATGATACAACAAATACAAAAACACCTACAAATGGTTGTAAACATATTAAAACCACCACCGATAAGGCTATAACCAAGGACAGCCCCCCAGTGGCACAGCGGTATGTCTACGGACTTACAACGCTAGAATCCGGATTTCGATACCCGTGGTGGGCAGATAGCCCATCGTGTAGCTTTGTGCTGAATTACAAACAAACAAAAACAAACCAAGGACAAGGAAACTAGGGGAGCTAAGGATGTAGAAATACCCCCTTGGCTTGAAGTATAAGAGTGTGCTAAAGAATATTGCTGGTTTGCATTGTTTATGTTTTATTTCCCTATAATTTACACAAAGATATATCAGTGCAAATTGGTATTTTTAAAATATAAATTCTGTACTTTTTTGCTTGTCTTTCAGTGCTGTTGCATATTTACTAGTAGTTTAATGAGAGAAACTGTGACGTCAACCACTTAAGGAAAAGTTTGTTTTTTAGTATTCATGTTCAAAAAGTCTGTAGTGTCAGGTAGCCTTATTTACTTGTCGGTAAGTCGCGTTAAATTTTCAGTTTGTTTGCTTTCAAAGTTTGTAGCAAGGGCTATGGTTACAGCATCTTTTAAAACTTGAATATACCTGCGAAAGCAATAACCTCGTTTTATTAGCATAACAACAACTGAATGGGTGATTTACATCACATACAGGGTTTGTATTTTTGTTCAATGGTTTTCAGCATCCCTCTAAACAGCCCCCCAGTGGCACAGCAGTATGTCTACGGCCTTGCAATTCTAGAAACGCTAGCACAGATAGCTCATTGTATAGCTTTGTGCTTAACTTCAAACACACACACACACACACCCTATAAACAAAATATTCTCCTGTCAATGCCTATATCATTGAGCAATGCTTCAGGAACAGGAAATTCAAAATAGGGTGATATTTCATCTTATTAGCATACATACCAATAAAGTCATTAGCTTCCATCTGCGAGAATAAAACGTTCCTCAGCATTCCTAGGTACTTTATGAGTCCAATGATTAAGTTACTGAATCGATGGTCTCTCTTTACTTACTTAGGATTGTCCAAAGCTTTTGTTTTTCTTGAATACTCAAGTCCTGCTTCTTTAAACTGATTATGCTGTTGTTTAACTTAATTGTTCTGAAGTGTGACCTAATGGCTAGTGCTTTGGACTCCTAGTCAGAAAGTTACGAGGTCGAGATTTGATCAAGGTATGCTCTTGTCCTTGAGCAAGGCACTTTAACCCAATTGTTTCAGCCATCCAGCTGTATAATGGGTTCCAGTGGGGAATGTATCATTATTCTTATCCACTTGTGCCACTGAAACCGGATTTCATCACCGGCTCCTTTGTGCCATGGAATAGACTTGATTTGATGGTGCACAAGCATGATAGTCTTGCCGTTGGAGGTAATGAACCCGAAAAACTGGCTTGAATTCAACGTGTCCAAATAATGGCTTGTGTTTTTCGCTGCACAGTCGCCATTTTGGCGCCCTTTATTGACAAAATCTTACGTCTTGGTTTAGGACAAAACTGAAAAAAAGCTGAAGTTTTTAGGCCACTATATACCAAATGTTTCTGTCGTTCATCATTTTAAATTTATTATGTTATATAATGTATAAAATCATTTTAGACAAACTGCATTATCTAAAAATGTAGTTTCAATTATTTTTGTTTTGATTATACCTTTGGATAATTAGAACCAATCCTAATTATTTTATAAATATTCAATTTCAGTGCAGTCTTTATTCAGTGAATTATATAAACAATCAAGTTAATAGTTTCCGTTTGAGTTTATTTATTGATTAAGTATATTTTATTACAATTTACAACTTTTACAGTAAGTAAGATTTGTTTTTAGAACGGAATCGACGTTTCGATGACTGGTGCGATCATTCTCAAATACTTAAAACTTGTGTACTAAATATGATCGCACCAGTGATTGAAACGTCGTACCTGTTCTAAAAACAAATCTTACTTACTGTAAAAACTGTAAATTATAATAAAATAAGCAATTAAATTATTCTGAAGATTATTTTGTATTTTATCTTTTTATATAATTATCAAAAGTTAACGATTTACTCAACTGTATTTTTTGTCATATTCGGTAACCTAATGATTTTGTCCAGTAAAATATATTTTCTTCTATGCATGCTACATAGCCCTCAAGCATAATGCATCTAAGTGCTCATGTTTCATTTTGTTCCCGTCTTTTTGCATAAAATTCTTTATAATAGTGGTAATAACGACATGATTTAAATTTTCAGTATGCTGTAAATATTATATCTGAGATTTCAAATAGCCACGATCTTTAGCATAATAAGCGATAAGCAGATTTTTTTTATATGGCAAAACCTGTATTAAACAACTTTAAATTTTTTACGAAATTTGGTACGCGTTTATTGAAGTTTATCAGATTTTAAATGGCCGTACACAAAGAGAAACAGTTGAAAATCTAGCAATAGTAACTTTAGAAAGCAATGGGGAATATATGAAATGATGAGCTAAGTTCAACATCATGGAACAAATACACGACCTAATGTAGAATAGGAACAACGGTCAATACAATAACATGAAAAAAACTGGACACGACAGGTTGTCTGAAACGAACCAAAATTATGTGCATAGAATACTATATGAAAGAGTAGTTTCTTTGCAAAAGACACAATAATCTGAAGTATTTAGACGAAAAAAAATTTTGGTTTGAATTTCGCGCAAAGCTACACGAGGGCTGTCTGCGCTAGCCGTCTCTAATTTAGCAGTGAAAGACTAGAGGGAAGGCAGCTAGTCATCACCACCCACCGCCAACTCTTGGGCTACTCTTTTACCAACAAATAGTGGGATTGACCGTCATATTTTAACGTCCTCACGGCTGAAAGAGTGGGCATGTTTGGTGGGACAGGGGTTCAAACCCGCGACCCTCAGATTGCGAGTCAAGCGCCCTAACCACCTGGCAATGCCAGGCCTCATTAGTATAGCTTTCACTTTGCAAATGAGGCGTTTCTCTAGATTGGTTTGAAGTTTGTAAGTTGTTGTTGTTGTTTTTATTTTCATGAAAAACCGTAAAAGCAAAATAGTTGTAACGTCATTCAACCCGTAGTCCATTTTTATACAAAATATGTATCTAATGATCTAGTATGTATTCTTAAATGCAAATAACACAGGCCTGCGATGGGTTTATTGTCTTGGAATTTTTACATGTTCTACGGTAATTCCTGTACGCTGAATCCAAAAATTATATCCATTTTTCGCCATCACGTACAGATTTTCACAAAACGTCATAACGCAATATGTAAAAGAAATACTACAGCAAGTAGTTTTGAGACACAAAAAATAAAATCAGGATGAATGAGGTAGCATATTCGTTTGAAATCAATATTCTTCCCTTTTCTTCAGTTTGTTAACAAACATAATAATAATAAATGTCCATTCTGGTAAACGAAATAATAATTTGATCTAAGTACGAGTTTTTTTTTCCTGATTTGTAAAAAAATTTTACATGATAGGGCAAAATGAATATTATTTTCAAAATCTGTGCAGCTGAATTATGAAGTTTAAATTCGCAGGCCTGTGTAATTGGTCATTGAGCCTGTATTCGTAAATAACTATTTGCTATAGACGATTTTGTATGTTTTCAAATAATTTCACTTCAACTCATCAATTCAGTTTAAATAAACGTTTTCTTTCTAATTTCCTTCTAATTCATTTAGGTTAACAGGCTTTTATTTATTACTTAATTGTTATCTACAGGCCCTCCGAGAGGGGGGGGGGGGACTGCCCAGGGGCCCGGGCGAATGAAACCTGGTTATGCCGTAAAGCCCGCAAAGCATCT